ATGGCCCTTCAGGTAAGAGACTACTGCTTTACTAAGAAGGAAAACTCATGTTGCTGTGATAATATGATTGCAATTCAGATAACACACAAAACCCACAAACAAATACAGCACCATATTGTCCCAATGATGTGATTTTGTTAGTGATCGAAGGCACGTCCAAAACCAAAAATTATTGTCCTTATCAGAAACCTTCAGGTTTCTCAGACACAGCTTAGAGAACAGACCGTCTGCTTCCTGTCATTTATATAATGGATATTGTGCATTAACGAAGCATAATGATATTGGACTTGATAAACAAGCGACTAATCATGACTTAATTTTGAGGCCGCTAATGTAATTTACGCTAATAGACATACTGATAAACGCAGTATCTTCAATGAGGCATCCATGCAAACAGCCTCCAGTTTCCTGACTTCATTTTCTTACCCACAAGCTAACTGTGTCGACCAACAGTCTCTCATATCTAATGTTTTGTAATGACTTCACTTTGACATAAAATGTTTGTATTCTTAATGTTTGCCCTGGAACCAGAGGCAGAGTACACACATGCAATGATGTGCATACTCTGACGCTGGTGGGTAAACATTTCCTACAAACTGCAATCACATTATCTCAGTTCAACAACTTACTATAATAATACTTTTATAAAACATACAAGATCTAATATATGTAAATATATATAACGTAAAAAATAATCCAAATACAACTGAAAAAAGGTAGCAGCTGCTAGCATGACAAATAACAATTGAAAACAATATATCATAATATATTTGCCCTCTTTTTAGTGCACTGTCACAATACACTGAAAGATCAACATTTGACAAACTATATTTGTCTTAAGACACTCTGTGTTTAAACTTTCTGCTGTCTTTACTGAGTTTGTTGTCCTGAACGACTTCTCTGGTGGCTCTCCCCACTTCTAACTTTGTTTTATTAACAAAAATAAAAGGACAAAACTCCCCACGGGGCCCATGTCACAGCCACAACTCACGTTCCCATTTTGCAATGATAACTGCAGCTACCTGTTTTTAGTTCTATTTGAAATACCTTTACATCTACAGTATATACAGTATAAAAGTATTTATTTTGAAAGTTGTTCAATTCGGGAGTGAATGCAGTTTGCGGGTCTCATAATTACTTGTGATGAGAATAAAAATGGGTTTCAGATCACCTTTGATTATTTGTGAATGCTGTCAAATGAAAAAAAAAAATTGAAATCAGCCCAAATATTGCAACAAGTGCACCTCCAATAATAACTTTGGATTTGATGTTAAGCTAAAATGCGGAATCTTTATTCATTTTTATTGTGGAGAAATGTAGAAGATAAGTAAAACCAAAGCCTTAAAGGATTTTCACCACATGCATCTAAAGGCAAATAAGTATTGGAATAAACTGAACTGTCAAACTAAAGTACTGAACTTGCCAAAATAAAATAAAAAACAGTTAGAGGAGTTTGGTCACTGTGTGGAATCGAGTTAAAATCTTCAGGTGAATAAATGAACCTCATTCAAGTGTGACAGCTGCACGTGTTAATAATAACTTGACAGCTATATAATTAATGAATTAGTGCAGTTAAAACGTATTGCTAAGTCAACATGTACTCAGCTTTACATAAGACAATACAATTGTTCTACTGAAAAGTAGAACAGGAAAACAGACTCCTCTGGCCAAATAAACCGAGCTAATTCAACATTCCTGTAAGAGTAGGTGAGGATTCTACCAGCTCAAGTTTTTCCCCTGATACAGACGATCAGCTTTTACTGACTCCTGTCTCTCACTCTTCTCCTCAACCTCTCCTGTTCCCCTCTGCTGGCCCCTCGCACACAAAGGCAGGGAGGCAGAAGAAGGGAGGGGAAGGAAGGCACAAAAGGTTGGACGCTGTGAGCAGCCTTGGGGAGAATGAGGTTTAGGGGGTGGATGAGGGGTAACTGAGGGTCAAAGGGGGGGCACAGGGATGTATGAGGTTGGGGGGAGGTGGGGTGAAACCTGAGAGGCAGAAAGCCAGAAAAGGAGCAGGGCAGAGATAGTGGTTAGGGGTGGCCAGAGAATGAGACGGCACAACACAAGACAGATGAGAGCACACCGATTGTTTTTCCCTGCTTTGTAGGGGGGGTTGGCAGTGGATTTGTTTAAGAAAGGGATCTGTGTTTGGAGATTTGGGCTGAAGTTAGGATTTGATGAGATTTCCATTTTGTTCTGCAACAAAGATGCACAGCCACAATCCACAAAAGTCTGTGTAAGCATTTTAGCCACACATGTATTTAGGCACAGAGTAAACACATGGTGTGGCTGGATTTAAGCTACAGCAGAAAGAGGGAGTTAAAAAATGTAAATTATTTAGAAAGGGTTTTTTTTTTCTCCAAAAAAAACAATATATATTATTTTCAAAGTTTAAATTAAGTTGCATTTCATAAAAAACACAACAAATTTAAAACCTCACAATTATTTAGATTAAAAAAACTTCTTACTTGTGGAGATTTTCTCCAACATACTGCACTTTTTGGTTTGAATAAATCTTAGCAACGTCTCATGATGAATTCTTGCCAGCATCTATAATACATTGAAAATCCTAGCAGTCTGAATGCTGTTAACAAATTCAACAACAGTTAGCCTCAGTTAGCTGTTTTTAGCTTGCGTGGTAATAGCACAGGTGTGTATACATCAAGAGTAGGAGACTGGTGACTTCAACTCAGTGCAAAGGTGGCACAGTGTGGAAGAGTTGCTGCATTTACCTGTCAAACTATTGGCTTAAACCACAGCATTGACCTTTAATTTGGTGCTTCTCCTTACTTTTTCAAAAAGAGCATCAAACACAAAATTGTGTGCTAACAGTATCTATCAGGTTGTCACCCCCTGAAGTTTCTGGCCTCTAAGGTCCATCTGTTCTTCCATCCCTGTGTACTTGTTTCCACTTTCCTTTTCAGACAGACCAGATCATCCCTCATTGATGACATAAACATGACAGTAACACCGTGGTCCCTGTGTGGATGATTTGGTCCTACACGCCCACAGACCACTAGGAGGCAGACGGTGCCAGCTGCACCACTTCCTACGTACACCACTGCTCCCTCCGAACAACAACTGATGACGGCAGGGTAGGATGAGGAGTGAAGGAGATAACGAGGAGGAGTCTCTTTCCTGTCCTCCTCCTCCACCTCACCCACTCCTTCCTGTCGTCCACCCCTCAGGCATCCTGACTCAGCTCTCACCACTTCTCTGCTTTTCTCTCACACAAAATATCCACGGTTTTAATGTTACTTTAAATTATTTGAAAAAGACTTTGGCAAAACTATCAGCTCACACCTGCTCACAGCTAAAGACAAGTGTTTCGAGTTTTTAGTTACAGCAGCAAGTCTCAAGCTCAGACTGAGATTTTCCAAAGAGTCACTATTTGCAACGACGTTTCATCACCAGTATTTCTTGTTCGTCCATTCTGACTGTCAGATTTCCTGTTTCTGCTTTTGGCTGAGCTCATCTATTGGTTGTTGATTGTGTTACATCACTGAGACTTGCGACAGTAGCAAAAGTGTTTGCAAACCTGAGACTAGGAACTGACATGAGATTACCACCTTAAACTAACCACTGAGATCACAGGAGCGGGCTGTACTCACTACAGACTTTGAGTTTTTTTGTCTGGGACTGTAGAGATCTCTGGGTGTAAGCTGAACTGAGATCCACGTGGAATCAGAGGAGGTCACAGGTTTAAGATCTAAAACAGTGAAGACCAATGTTCACATGTAATGACAGGCTCAGAGAAAGTCTCAAATTTAGCTATACTTAGCTTTTAGCTAACATGAAAGTGAAAAGTAGCGATGACAGCAGAGAACCACAGTTAAAGACACGGCTGAAAGGAAGGTGACACAAGGACCATATGATCACAGGGTGTGAGTGTAAACATGGGCGTCTGAGACAAACACAACCTGTTGAACAGGAATGTGATGACTGATCCCAGCATCAATCTACACGCAGCGTACTCAAGAGGTACAAGCAAAGATGTAACAGATAGGAGATTTTTTTACAAAACATTTACCAAAGAATTATGCAAAAAACTCTAACACTGAAATGGATAAATTTGCAGAATCAACAGAACAAGTCCAAGGTGGTCCAAAGAAGAGGTTGTTATACCTTAAATATAATTATTGTGTTTTTGCTAATGCTTTAGCACCACTGCACATGTTATGTTTCAATAATCCATTTTATTCTTTTCTGTTAAAAATCATTTCAGGTTCACAGCCAGATCTATGTGTGTATGTGTGTGTGTGTGTGTGTGTGTGTGAAAGAGAGATGGATTTGATTCACAGCCAGCTTTAAATGTGTGTAATAAAGCTGAGCAGGCTAAGTGATGGAAAACCCCAGGTGTTAGAGACTTGGCAGGGTCCTGAGAGACGCTGGCACAGAAACGAGTGTGTGTGAATGTCTTTGTCCCAAAGAGGGAGATCAAGCTATGTCTGTGAGTGTGTGTTTGAGGCCCTTTGTGTGTGTGAAAATGAAACAGAGCTGCTCCTGGGTTAAGGTGTGTGTGTGTGTGTGTGTGTGTGTGTGTGTGTGTGTGTGTGTGGAGCAGAGTAATGGTGTTGAATTCATAATAACAGCTGTATTTGTGTGTGTGTGAGAGAGAGAGTCTGGCTGAGGACCAACCTCATTCAATTAGTGGCCGCAGTTAAAATGGAAACTCCTCAACAAAAACAGAAAATCTCTATAAACCACCTAGATTTATATTAACATAAAATGTCAGTCAGCCAGTTGTGAATTTAATTCAACCCTGTGGAACCTCCTGATAGCTTACAATATTTAAGGAAAAATATAAGGCATAAAATAAAAAATCATGACGTGAGCAATTTTAAACACCTGGGTCAGTTAATGTTTCAGCACACATTCATTTCTGGCCTCATTAAAGCAGTGATCACACAAACACACAATGGGCAGTAGGTTTAAATCTATTACATCACTATAGACCGTGTTCAAACAGGTCACATCATGGTCAGAGATTCATGTCTTACCTGAACAGGTGGCCATTGGCAGTAAAATGTTGGATGTTATTCTGCAATAAAGAGAAGAAAGCGTGTGTTATGAACTTACTTTGCAAATGTTGCTGACTAAAATATACTAAAAGAAGAAGCACTACAGTTAATGTCCATCTTACCATGTTGACGGTAGTCGACCCCAGGCCGACCGCAGGTCAGGAACATCACATGATTTCAGTCATGGCGGTTTTTTGCGGGTAGGAAGATAATGTTTGATCATGGTCATTTCTTCTCTGTGAAGGATGAGAAGCATAGATTAGACATGAAGGACATGAATACATGTAATCAGGAGTTAATAATTAAAAGTTTTTAGGCCGCGTGAAACGAAAATATACATAACAAAAACAAACACTCATTGTTACATGAGTCCAGTGACAGACTTTAAACTGTACTGATATACAGTGGAAGCAGCACAGAACAACTCACGGAGTACGTGACACTGTTGAACTGCAGATGACAAATGCCATCTTCTGGGAACTTGACGCAACTGCAGTACAGTCGTAACTTTGGACAACAGAGGATTTTACATGGAGACAAGCCCAAGTGACGTTATTTTAATAAAATATTAAATGTAAAAAACTTGAATGGTAAATGGAATGACTGGTATCAATTATAGACAGATGTGACGTTCTTCTGACGTTTTTCCGATGTCAAATTGCATTTTTCTTTTTGCCGTTTTGTCTGACAATATGCGTAGAATAAAATAAAATGTTGTTATAGCTGTAAATACAAATGGTGCATCATGGGAAATTAGTGTTATTTTTCGACCCGAAAATTACTTTTTCATTTTTATTTAATATTTTTTAGTACTTTTTATTTTTGTATTAACCGTTTTCTATATCTTCAATGTAATACGTCATAAAAAGAGATTAAGACTTTTTTATGTTCAAAAACTATTTTTGCATACTTTTATTTATTGACGCGGATACATAGTATGTAAACATCTGATTACTATCTTATAAAAGTGTCGATAATTGCATTAAGCGTTTTATTTATACCATTAGTTAGCATTGTAATCTGATTTTTTTTATTTTAATTGCAAAAATATTCACAATTCATACCTTTTCTGTTAACGTTACGAGCACACAACCTTTACAAACCAAATACAGAAAAACGTAGTAAACATCCATCAATGCAGCCATTTTCTTCAATGGTGGACTAATTGTCTAATGATGCAATACTACACGCCTTACACTGATTAACCAATCATACACTCTGTTACATTAAGCGTAACATAAAGGTAGTAGCTTGGGTTAAATAAATTCTGGCCGTTGTACTCTTATACGAGACCATATAATCCTACACAGTTCTGTGTCGCCCCCCAGTGGCCACGTGTACCAAACACAACAACAGCAAGCAAAGGGGTGGAGACAGAAAATCCATCCAAAGGAAGAGCATTCAAAAGCTCTTCCAGGAAATAGTAGAGGACCCGCCACAACTTCATCACATGACATTTCTGAAAGAAAATGCGACACTACTTCCTCCAGCAGCGGCCAACCCACATTTCATTCACCGTGGCTGGTGACCGTGAACCCCACGACGAGCACCAAATATCGTTGGCACACCCTGTGAATTCACACAGCCACAATCGCCCACGTTAGGTGCGCGGTTTGTGAACGCGTTAACGGAAAGATATGAGATTGCGACAGCGCCAAGTCCTGAGCTACCTTCCCGTAAACTACTCCTTCCTGAACGTAAAAACATGACATCATCAACTTAATGTGGCCGAAAACGTCTGTCATCAGCGCAGTGATATGGAACCACAGAATACAAACTTACTAGCCACAATCCCGAGAAGTTATACATGCATTACCCCCATAAACGCCCGGGGCTGGTTTGAAAATAACCGCATCCAACCTAGATTATCTTTATCATGTGGAAATATGGGCTCTTCTTTTAGCAGTGATGTTGAGTCTCTTAAACCAACATGGAGATATTTGGTTTGAGCTCGAGTCCCACTGGACCCCCTGTTACAGTCTCTCATGTCAGCGTGTTTGCATGATGAGAGCCATACCACGAACACGGGGCTTACCTCTTCTCTGTTCTACCCCAAAATATGCTGGGGAGGTGCCGCTGGTGAAATATTCCAAATCTGCAGGAGTCTCCATCTCCTCTCGCAGACACGGATGACGCAGACCCCTAAACTCCATCTTCCAAAAAATAAAAATAAATAAATAAATAAAAAAATACACCAAAGCCCATTCAACATCCATGTTGCGTGTAGGCGCCCACCACAGGCACATAGATCCATGTGTAAGTGTTTACCCGCGATCTTGCATCTCTGCACAGTCATATCGCCCGTCTCAACGATTGCACAGCTTTTTTCCCCCCTCCGTCCTCCCCCTGAAGACCATCTGGTAAAACATCGCCAGCGTCTCCTCTGTAGCCTCACAGGCAGCACTGGTTGCAGCGGGCACCGTGATCATCCCAAAAACACAACCGTGATCCATTTCACACTGAGAGGAAGGCTCCGCTGTGATCCTCAATGAAACTGCGCAGTTTTTATTCCATTGAAACGGAG